AAAAGTGTAAAAAAAAATAATATATACTTAGATCATATATATATATGATCTAAGTATATATATATATATACACATATACATACACACACACACACTGTCTAGGTGTATTTTACTGTTATATGTATATGTGCATAATATACCGCCATCTTGATCTTGTTTCATACCCATAGGTGCTTACTCATATGTATTTACCTTTGTGCTATGCAAGTCTTTTCTATTTTCTCTTCATTCATTTATGGCAGCCTGGCTTTTCAGAACCACCATATGATCAGTAAAACTGACAATTATTTTGGATACTGAATTACTCAATGCACTTGTTTGGGTATATATTTGTGTAAAAGATGACTGAGGCATCAGCATAATGACTCTTTTTTTTAAGTAAAGTAGAAAGTTTAATTTTCTAAAACAGTTCCTCTGTATTTTAGCAGTCTGTTTAAATCAGATGACACTTGAAAAAAATTGAAAGTATTCAGCATTTAGTAAAAATAGATTTAATTTTACTAATGCATCCAGTAATCTGAAAGTGTATTGAGCCGTGTACCTATGAGATTATTTATACAGCTAGTAAATGGAACAAACAAATTTGGATTTGTAGATGAAAACAGTGACTGGGGTTTGATGCATTTGCTAAACAGTCTGTTGTCATCTCTTTGGAGATGTTCAGATTTGTCACACACACAAACTTCCATATTAAGTGATCAAGGGTAAAGATGATCACAGAATGACCTGGCAACTCTCAAGCCATCCCTGACAAATATAGGGACCCGCTTTAGGGGGGGGGGTCTGCCTTGACGTTGGCAGGCGGGCATTCCCTCCAATGGCCATTGGAGCATCTAAATGACATCCTTTTGTCTAGATATACATAGGGATTAAGGAGAGAGTGCAGGTAACTTTATTTTCTTTGGTTTTTACTATATATTGGGGCTGATGTGTACTGTAGTCATTGCTGCCGGCCCAGTAGTGATGGGAGTGAGCGCAGGACTTATCTTTTTGTATTTACTTTGTATCACACAGCCTTGTTACAATGCTGCTGCCCATCCCATGTGTTCCCTATTAAGGGTTAATAAGTATATAGGGGTGTATATAAAAAAAAATACCCCTCTCTGTCTCATTAGATATATCTTTGCCAGAAGCTCAAGGAAGCAGGCTGAATGGTCAGTGCAAGACCCGCTTTAGGTCTGCCTTGACATTGGCAGCAACTAAATGACCTCTATTTGTCTAAATATACACAGGGATTAAGGATAGAGCGCAGATAACTTTATCTTTTCTTTGATCAAGGGTAAAGATGATCACAGAATGACCCGGCAATTCTCAAGCCATCCCTGATAGATATAGGAAAACCTGCCCTGGAATAAGCTAGTTTCCATTTTCTATTACTAAGATAGATAACTCTCAGCACTTGAGCCTTTAAGATCAACAATTTGTATCTAAATGTTTGGACGATAGTCAGAGATTTATCGATATAACCTTTTTATGCCATGCTTTATTATAATGGTAGATATGGTAGTGCGGGTATATAACATTTGATAAATAAAATACACCATAAAATGTAGTGTGAGTATCCAGGAGCAAGAATAAAATAAAATAAAATAAGAAATAAAAAATAAATAATACAAAAATAATGAATGGAGTTCAGATAGTAAATAGTTAATAAATGTAATCATCCAAATTAATGTGTAACCCTTGATGGGATAGCCATAATATACAATAACTAGTCCAAATATAGATGTAAGTCCAGAATAAAATATGAGTCCAAAATGAAGTGCAAATCTTATATAAGTCTTATATGAGTCCAAAGTAAAGTGCAAATCTTATATGTAGTACCTATAGCATAGGTAACTATAGCCCTGCTTGTGAAAACAACACAGGGCTGATGGTGCTTATGTCTTATAATATACTTTTAAGATATAAAAGATAAAAAAGATAGTTCAAATATATACCAGAGCAAATTAGTATGAGTAACTTATTGCTCAAAAATAGACTAATAGTAGTGCCACAGCGCAGGATAAAAACAGTCACTTGATGAATAAAAATAGATCAATTTATTAATATATTAAAAATATATTCCAAGTATGAAATAACGATTAAAGACATCTCCATATATCTATAGCTATATTTGTGGCCAGTATCAAAGTACCAAATTATGCTGTTGACTCTAAAGAGGAATGCAAGTTGGCGGTGGTGTGGCAGAAAATTATGTATGGTCCAGAAAGCGAGTTCGCCTCGTAAAAGAATTGCCATGGGATGTATAATAAGAAAGTGGGAATGTTCGGATGAAATCTCTGATCTGTGTGGAGTGATAGATCTGGTGACTAAGTAGCCTTTTATTTGTGGTCATGGTCAGTATGACAAATGTTATTGTGATTATAAGAAGCAACAGCCTGAGATGGTGTCCAAATACAGGCATCATGTGCAGCATGGAAGTAGGCAACAAGATTATAGGAGAAAATATGCATACAGAAAGCATATGACTATTAACAATACTGATGTACGAATTCTAAAAGATTCCTGGTTGAGGGATGTGACAAAGCAACTCTGACATTCTAGTGACTTACTCTGACTGGCTTTTAATGTAAGGTGCTCCTTAGGTGGTTCCTACATAGAATGAGCAACATGAAAAGTGGAATGTAATAAAAATTATAGAATATAAATAACTTTTTAGCGATTAAATGAATTATGGTGAGCAGATAATGATTTAAGGAAAGTGCTGAGGTTCAGGATATAATATTATAGTTGGTGATGATCAAACTAATTGGAGTACACCAATGCTCTGGTATACACGTTTGTGTATATGACAAAGCTTCATGTAACCAAATTTGGGACCAAGGAAATAGTTTTCGTAGAATATTTGAGGGATTAAATTTAGGATTAGGGGAAAGTTATGTTTAGGGTGTAGGCATGTAGAGTATTAAAGATTTTTTGCAAAGTACTTAACCTCTTATAATTGATAATAGGAATGAAGGAGCTGTTATACAGTGTGCATCACTTAGTGATGTTAGTGGTTTCTATGCAGCTTTGCACACACGCAGGAGGAGCAGGGACAACACCAAGGTTTACACCCTCTGTAACTGTTCCTGCAGCTCTCCTAATAAGTGCAGAACCTGAATAGGCTACATAGGACCCTGGACAAGATCCCTGCTTATCGCTCCCCAGCAGCCCACTTAAGCTTCAAAACATCACATTTTTTGTGCTGAAAACCAGCATCCCCTACAGGACATGTACCCAGTGGCGTACTAAGGGGGGGGCGGTCCGCACCAGGTGCCAGCCGGGTGGGGGGTGCCATGACCCGCCCCGCCGCCCCCCCCCCATGCTGCAGCCGCCCGAGCGCTCTGTAGTGAGCCTCAGGCGGCTGCAGCTTTGCCCGGGCGGTGCGTCCATGACGGCGGACTGCACTGCCCGGGCGCAGCATGAGGAGAGGGGCTGACAGGAGGGAAGCGCTCAGCGCTCGCTCCCTCCTGTCAGCTTCCTTTGCTGTAGCGTGGCCGAGCCGCCCTAGTATCGAGGATCCATGGTATAGCAAAGCGTTCCCCAGGCCTGCCGGACTAACAGGGAAGTGCACACTCAGTGCACTTCTGTTAGTCCCGACCGGTACAGGAGACAGCTGCCTCTGCACCGCCGACTATACTGGACTGGCCACGCCACAGCAAAGGTAGGGAGGGGGGGGTGAGAAAGAGGAGAAAGGGGAGGGGTGAGAAATGAGGGGGGGCAGAAAGCGAAAAGGGGGGTGAGAAAGGAGGGGGGATGAGAAAATGAGGGGTGGAAAGAGGAGAAAGTGGGGGTGAGAGAAAGGAGGGGTGAGAAAGAGAAAGGAGGGGGGGGTGAGAAGAGGAGAAAGGGGGGGTGAGGAGAAAGGAGGGGGTGAGAAAGGAGGGGGTGAGAAAGGAGGGGGTGGAGAAAGGAGGGGGGGGTGAGAAAGGAGTGGGTGAGGAAGAGGAGAAAGGAGGGGTTAGAAAGAGAAGAAGGGGTGGAGAAAGAGGAAAAAGGGGGGGTGAGAAAGAGGAAAAAGGGGGGGTGAGAGAGGAGAAATGAGGGGGGGTGAAAGAAATGAGGGGGGGTGAGAAAGAGGGTGAGAGAGAAAGGAGGCGGGGGTGAGAGAGAAATTAGGAGGGGGAAGAGAAACTAGGAGGGGGGGAGAGAAATTAGGAGGGGGGTGAGAAAGAGAAATTAGGAGGGGGGAGAGAAATTGAAATTAGGAGGGGGGGAGAGAAATTGAAATTAGGAGGGGGGGAAGAGATATTAGGAGGGGGAAAGAGAAATTAGGGGGGGGGGAGAGATATTAGGAGGGGGGAAAGAGAAATTAGGAGGGGGGTGAGAAAGAGAAATTAGGAGAGAGAGAGAGAAAGGAAATTGGAGCGGGAGGAGAGATTGACATTCATCACATACACACAATGCACCCCTTGCACACAGAAAAACACACAATGCATTACACACACAGACACACATACACAAGCAATGCAACCGTTACAACCATTACACACACAGAAACACACAATGCATTCATTACACACACTCAATGCACCCCTTACACACATTCAATGCATCCCATACATACACAGAAACACACCTTGCAGCCCTTACACATACAAACACAATTTCACACAATGCATTCCTTACACACATATCAGGACATCCCCTACACACTCCACCCCCTGTGAACAAACTCATTGGTGGAACATGAAGGTGGACCCTGGGACCCAGACCTTGAGCTGTGTAAAGGACCCCCAAAAAATGGAGCTGCTTCCCGTTCTCCCAGAACATTGATTTTTGTGACCACAGTTACAAACCGCCTCCAGAGAGCCTGTTCTGCACCAGACCAGTGTAGCCAGACTGCAGCTAGAGCCCATCATCCTCATCTGGTTGTAAGTAGGCAATCTAGTATATTATTCATGGCACTAAGCTCTAATTTACCTCACATTAAAGAAACACTATAGTCCCCAGAACCACTTCAGCTTAATGTAGTGGTTCTGGTGTCTATAGCCTGTCCCTGCAGGCCTTTTAATGTAAACACGGCGGCACTGCAGCACTGGCGTTAGTTAACATGGCAAATCATATGGGTGGGGCATTGTGATGTCACATGGGGGGCGGCAAACTTTACTTTTGCCTAGGGCTGCAAAAATCCTTGCACCGGCCCTAGCTGGAGGGGGCTGTGTGAGCTGTGGCCGCACAGTGTCCCATGGTAGTTAGGGTGCCGTACAGCTCACACAAGCAAACAGCTGATAAACTGGCCGCACAGAGGAAATGTGTATGTGTGACTGTCTGCCTGTAACAGTGTGTGACTGTCTGTAACTGAGTGTGTGACTGTCTGTCTGTAACTGAGTGTGTGACTGTCTGCCTGTAAATGTGCTGCAGGGATTTTGTAGAAGGGGGCGGGGGTTTTGTATTGGGACAGGAGTCTTTATAAGGGGGGATAAGCAGGGGATTTGTGGAAGGGGGTTGCGGGGGTTTTGTAGACGGGGCAGTACAGGATTTGTAGAAGGGGCAGGACAGAGGTTTTGTAGGAGGGGCGGGGCAGGACAAGGGTTTTGTAGGAGGGGCTGACAGTGGTTTTGCAAAGTTTACAAATTGTAAAAAAAAAAGAAAGAAAACCTTTAACATTTTTTACAGGTTTTTTTTTGTTTGTTTTTTTTGGGTGGGGGGTGAGGCGAGGGTGCCAAGCACAGGATCCGCCCCGGGTGCCAAATGCTCTAGGTACGCCCCTGCATGTACCTTTAGGTAACTGCCTATTTTGCCACTCTTAAGACAGGTATTTATGGCAGTAACTTGGAGATATGTGTACTAGCAATGCTATAGATAATGCCCAGCAATAGCACTTGTAGAAAAAAGCAGAGCATATCATCAGTACAGTGAATAAAAACAGCATGAATTAGTGTCTGAAACTTTCAGCAAGAAAATCAGCAACATGTTGTCTGTACGGGTTAAGCACAGGAGTAAACAGTAAAAGTGTGAAATTAAAGTAATACTCAAAGGTCTCTAACCACAACACCTTGCTATAGTGATTATGTTGTTAGTAGTCCACTGACAACATCTTACGGTAAGTAGTCAAACTGTTGTTATACAAGTCCCCCAGGTGCCCATACCACAGGCAGGTTTATAAGCAAGATGTATCCTAAGAATAAAGCAAAGTCAATGCAGGATCACACTTAGTGGCTGAGAGCACTCAGCTAACACTTTCAGCCAATGCTCATGGCCCTGCTTAGATCTGTATAATATTAAAGCCTGACAAATCTCAATGTCAGAGACGTATACAACAATGAGCTGTAGGGCATATTATGAGTAGTTGATGAGTGTTGAAAAGCACAAAGCATAACATTAATGTGTTGTATAAAAGGAGTCCACATACCTCATCAGTAAGGGCTATACCGTTACAGTAATGTGCTATGTAAGACATAACAATACAATCTTTCCATAATATGGTATATATAGACCAGGATTAACCATAAGGTGACCCTAGGAAGCCACCAAGGGCCCAGGCTATGGCTAGACGGGGCCCTGGAATTATAAATTTACATAGCCCCATTAACCATCCCCATGTAAAGAATGAAGGGGGGAGGAGGGAAGGGGGGGGTGGAGGTCAGGACTGGTAATCAGGCTAGGGCCCTGTGTGATCGTAATACTTTTCTGGGTATATTTAGCATGCATCATGCATGTGAGTAGCTGTTTAAAGAGCTGAAAGAAAATACAATAGTTATGCTATCTACAATTTGAGTAGCTTATGAAGCTAAATGCCAAAAAGTGTACCTTAGTGGTATAAGTAGCACTGAATGGCCATTATGTGTACAGTAATTTGCCATATAACATTATTAGCACATGGAGCAGCATGACAATAAAGTATACACTAATTAGATTAATGCTATAGGTAGCTCATGGACCTGAATAGCCATAAAGTTTATGGTAATGTACTGTATAACATTATTAAAGAGTACACTGATGAGCTATTAACATAAGTATCTCATAGAAAGAGAGGAACAGTAAAGTTACTGTACTGTGCTGTATAACATGAGTATCTCACTAAGTTGAATCCAGAAAAGTGCATCGTTTAATGTGAATAGCTCACATAGATAATTGATAATAAATCTAGAGTAACATTTACATAAGTGACTTATGGAGCTGATTGTAGCTAGGGGCACTAAAGTCACCCAGACCACTTCATCTCATATATTCAAAATCAAATGTTAAATAATTTTAAAGGTTTGTTCAGAAATATTATTTGAAAAGCTTATGCAGAGGTATTACATATAGTCCATAGAGAAGTAGTGCATAGATGGAGATGTCCTGACATGGGGCCACACTGATAAGAAAATAGAAATAGGGGTGAAGATGCAGTGTGAAATGGAATAAAGGGGGAGAGTGAGTGATAGGGAAGAGATAATGGGAAGATATAGAAAGATGAGGAAAATGGTAAAGGGGGTCAGAATGGGGTCAGAATGGGGTGCCTGCAATGAAAGAACAGACATTAGAGGGACAATATAGTCACCAGAACAACTACAACTTATTGTACTTGTTCTGGTGAGTAGAATCATTCCATTTACTCTTTTTTGCAGTAAACACAGTCTTTTCAGAGAAAATGCAGTGTTTACATAACAGCCTAGGGATAACTCCACTGCATGCATACACTGAACTTGCCTCATAGAGATTCATTGATTCATGAGGAAATGCTGATTGGCCAGGGCTGTGTTAGACTTCTGCTGGCTCTGCTCCTGATCTGACTCCTTTACAGTCTCAGCCAATCCTATGGGAAAGCATCATTATTGGCTCAGGCCACCACTTCTGACAGGGACATACAGGGGCAGAGCCAGCAGCTGCAGACATGAATATAAGTACGGTTTTACTATATTTAGGGAGACAAGGGGTGCCACATTTTAACACAATAGAGTCAGGAATACCTGTTCCTGACCCTATAGTGTTCCTTTAAAAGAGTGCAGGACATGAAATGATTATCGATAAATAGAATGACTAAAGGGTCAGTAGAATCTGATGGGGATTCATAGTAAGTCAGAACATGAAAGGGCCAAAAAAGATGTAAAGGGGGTATGCAATGTAATAAAGAAGATGCATGGAATGAAAGTGAGATGTAAAGAGTTAGTGGTGTACAGTAGAGAATAATGAAGGTTAACCACAAAGCTTCACAACCTAACAGTAATGTGTAGTGTATATAAAAGTATCACTAAAAGGTACTTTAATGAAACTCATAGTAGTAAACAGTGTTAATGGCTATGTCACACAGCTTCATAGCCATTAAACTCTGAATACTATACAAGGTGATTGTAGAATCTGATAAATACATTTTACATCTATCCACTATTCAGCAACAGTCATACTCTGAATACAGCCTAACTAATTTGAAAAAAAAAAAAAATAACTGTTAAACAACACAAATTTCAGGAATAAGAACACTAAAGAAAGGGAAGCAAAACAAGTATCAATGGGACAGGATACCATGGTTTTCAGAAAGAAAGCATGAATCTATTCATATTTGAGACAGTTATACTGTGAGGAAGATTTTTGTAATGCTGAAAGAGTGTAGGAAATTGACAATACAGAGGACCATCAGGCGATGCCTGTGACTTGAAGCAGGAACATATTCCTACTGTGAAATGGTCACAGTCATTTTGACACGTGAGTTGACAACATCATGGGGTCAACAGAACCTCAAGCTCTGCCTACTCATTTTACATATGAATCTAGACCACGTAGGTGACCACATTGGGTCACCAGACAGCTTCTGGAAAAATTGTCAGTGGACTTTGTTCATGCAAGTCATTATTACAGTTACGTATTACGTTACAGAGATTCCAATATTGTCATATTTTAATACAAAGGCTTGAAGTTTAGTTACTCTCGTTTCCTCGCAATAACCCCCACACACAGAAAAAAATGAAATCAATAACATTTCTAGGATTAAACGAACATTGAGTACAATAACTGCAACTCCTCACTTAAATTTGTTTGACTTATGTTATAATAAGAGGGTGATTAGTCATTATTAATAAAGAGAGAAATATTTTAGTCCACAAGATCCTTCAAATTGAATTTTTGTTTTAGCTTAAAAAGGGATAACTGAGTGAAAATGCATGAGAGAAAGCTGAATAGATTGTTTGGCCCCACGCAGAGGAGCAGTTAATATAATTTAGTTAGCTGGCTTATCTTAAATGCTACCAGCAGCAATTTGAGAGAAGGCCTGTTTTATCATGTTAATTTATTCTTGTAATTTTTACTGTATTATGCAGTGAATGCAGTTATGTATTTTATATTTGGAGTTTTACCCACCTGCAGATTAAAGCCACAGCTTTTACTTTGATTTGAACATTTCAAGATTATTGAGTGTTACAATTTAGACTGATTATTTTGAGCACACAATATTTTATTTGTTTTTTTTTTCCCAGTAGTAATCACTACAGGACATAAATACATATCAGCAATATTATGTAACAATACAAAAAAAATTTCTACGAAGTGCCTTGAAAAATTAAAAAATAAATCCAGTATATATGCTTATATACATTAAACACAAATATATTACCATGCTTTATACCCACTACTCACACAGTTACATAGCTGAAAAGAGACTTGCGTCCATCAAGTTCAGCCTACCTCACATTTGTTTTTTGCTGTTGATCCAAAAGAAGGCAAAAAAACCCAGTTTGAAGCACAATTTTGCAACAAACTAGGAAAAAAATTCCTTCTTGACCCCAGAATGGCAGTCAGATTTATCCTTGGATCAAGCAGTTATTACCCTACATTGAAAGATTATATCCTTGAATATTCTGTTCTTGCAAGTATGCATCTAGTAGCCGTTTGAACATCTGTATGGACTCTGATAAAACCACTTCCTCGGGCAGAGAATTCCACATCCTGATTGTTCTTACAGTAAAAAAAAACCTTTCCTTTACCTTAGACGAAATCTTCTTTCTTCCAGTCTAAACTCATGGCCTTGTGTCCTATATAAAGTCCGGTTTGTGAATAGATTTCCACACAATGGTTTGTATTGGCCACGAATATATTTGTATAATGTTATCATATCCCCTCTCAGGCGACGTTTTTCTAAACTAAATAGGTTTAAATTTGTTAACCTTTCTTCATAGCCGATATGTTCCATTCCTTTTATTAATTTTGTAGCCGCCTCTGCACTTTTTCTAGTGCCATAATATCCTTCTTTAGAACAGGTGCCCAAAATTGCACAGCATATTCAATATGGGGTCTTACCAGTGATTTATAAAGAGGCAAAATTATATTCTTGTCCCGAGAATGAATGCCCTTTTTCATGCATGACAATACCTTACTGGCCTTGGCCACTGCTGATTGACATTGCACATTGTTGCATAG